GTTGTGTTGTTGTTTTATTGCAGGTCTAAAATCTTGGCTCGCTAGATTTATTAATCGAACTTAACAAACAGCAAACTATGGCGTACATTTGCGGACAAAAATAATCTAAAATAAAATATAATTTGAAGTTCAAAAATTAGACTATCCATGTCGAAATCTCGTCATATGAATTTGAAATCGCAATGAACGCAGTCGAAATAGCATCATTCGAATTTGAAGTTACTTTGAACAAGTTGAAACTATAAAGGGAAAACTCGACATCGCCGATGTTGAAGTTCAAATCACCATTCCAACTAAAATGCAAATTCATGATTTGAACTTCAATTCACCTTCTTCACTCTAATAAGCTTCTTAATCGTCAACAATGCAACCATAATCTTCCACAAAATTCCAAATGAAATCTTTAATTTGAACTTAACGTCACGTCACATATTCGAATTCGAAAAACCAAAATTTTAATTCGAAAGGAAGCGGAAGTAAAAATACACAGGAACCGGAAATGATAAGAGTTTCGCTACACTGTACTTATGGGATGTTTGCATAACTGCATTTTGGCGCGAAAAGATTTTACGTCACTCAAACTCTCTGCTCAATATGGCGGACAATGTGAATGATAAGGGTGACTCTAGGACAATCCAAGAGATTGTGAGGGCTGTCGTGGCAAACTTAAGAGTGGTTTTCTGTAAAATTCGAACTTCGACCTGACACGTTACCTGGTCGATTTGGCTAATTTTTGGCATGTAGTCTTAGAATGGTTTCCTAAATACTGAATGCATATTCTAAGGTTTGAATTCTCTTTGGTTTCAAAGATACTTGAATGACAGTTTTAACGAGGCCTCGAGGGGCCGCCATGTTGGTGAAATGAAGGAGGTTTACGATAATTAATTCTAGCTTCATCATTAAAATAACGTAATCGTGACTCATACAGTTGCAAAGAATTATCCTTCCTCCTTTCATTTACCTTTTTTCTATCCGAAAATATTTTAGCCTGAGCTACGAACGGCTATAACTTCTCACAGCACTTTTTCGGTACTTAAAAGGTACACAAATTTTGTAGAAATTGGAAGGCCAATATCACCCATGCCACATCGATTTAGAGTAAGCCGTTTTCACTAAACATAGTTTTTTTATAGATAAGTTAGACTGTTGAATAAAATAATTGGGCAAATGTAACGGAGCAGAACTACAGTTGTATGATTTAAACCGATAAAGCTAGAATTAACCATAGTAAACCTCCTTCAGTTCACCAACATGGCGGCCCCTCGAGGCCTCGTCAAAACTGTCATTCAAGTATCTTTGAAACCAGAGAGAATTCAAACCTTAGAATATGCATTCAGTATTTAGGAAACCACTCTAAGACTACATGCAAAAAATCAGCCAAATCGACCAGGGAACGTGTCAGGCCGAAGTTCGAATTTTACGGAAAACCACTCTTAAGTTTGCCACGACAGCCCTCACAATCTCTTGGACTGTCCTAGAGTCACCCTTATCATTCACATTGTCCGCCATATTGAGCAGAGAGTTTGAGTGACGTAAAATCTTTTCGCGCCAAAATGCAGTTATGCAGACATTCCATACGTACAGTGTAGCGAAACTCTTATCATTTCCGGTTCCTGTGTATTTTTACTTCCGCTTCCTTTCGAATTAAAATTTTGGTTTTTCGAATTCGAATATGTGACGTGACGTTAAGTTCAAATTAAAGATTTCATTTGGAATTTTGTGGAAGATTATGGTTGCATTGTTGACGATTAAGAAGCTTATTAGAGTGAAGAAGGTGAATTGAAGTTCAAATCATGAATTTGCATTTTAGCTGGAATGGTGATTTGAACTTCAACATCGGCGATGTCGAGTTTTCCCTTTATAGTTTCAACTTGTTCAAAGTAACTTCAAATTCGAATGATGCTATTTCGACTGCGTTCATTGCGATTTCAAATTCATATGACGAGATTTCGACATGGATAGTCTAATTTTTGAACTTCAAATTGTATTTTATTTTCAATTATTTTTGTCCGCAAATGTACGCCATAGCAAACAGCCAACGAGCGAGGACACCAGTTTTCCTGGTTTATTTTTTACAAAAAGCGAAGGCAAACTACAAGTCTGTTACCTTAACACTAGCCACCAGCTTTT